CGCCGCCGCGCCGCCCTCCGAGGCTGCGTCCGGGGAAGCCCGGACCCCATGGAGGCGCCTGGGCCGGCCGAAGGGGCCGCGGCGGGCAGTAGCCCCGGGGGCCGCGACGCTGAGAGCGCTGGGGGGACCCCTCAAGGGGCGCCGCGCCCCGAGGCACCCACCTACCGGCTGCAGGACTTCGACACGCTTTCCACCGTGGGTGAGTGCGCGCAGGAACGACGAGGGAGCCCGGGGACGGGCCGGGGCTCACGCTCTGCCGGACGCGGCGTCAGACAAAGGCCCCGGTGTCACCGCCGCCGTCTCACGGGCAGGCTCCCTGTCCCGCCCTGTGGGCCAGGGTCCTCTTGCTGGGAGCCCCTGTCCCTCGGCGCGCCTCGAGAGTCGGAGGGCTCACCCCGGCGAGCTTCCCCGACTTGCCGGCCACCCTGCTCCGCGGCTCGCTTGGATCCCCATTCACACACCCCCTTAACCAGCACCACTACCCCGGTGTCGGGTCTACCTGACGTCACAAAACTTCCTGGGTCACCCACATGTGACCCTCCCAGGCAGCGACCCCCCAGGGACAGAGGCGCCGGCTCCGAAGGCGCCTGCGGACCTCAGCCCGGCCTCCCTCGCCCTCGCGTGGAATTGGCAGCCCGAGCCGGGGGTGGAAGAGCCGCTTGGGCTTGGAGGGGGCAGAGGTCCCCTGGAAGTTTTGGGAGGGTGGTCGCTGTTGAGATGAATTCCGCATTCCCTGACCCGTTTGCACTTTAATCTCGTTTCTCTGAGCCTTGGAATTATTTTATTAGACAATTTCCCTTCCTTTGTGCCCTGGCTGTGAACGTGACCCAACTGGGCGGCTTGAAAAGTCGGTTTCAAGTTCTCTCTGGGCGTCTGGATCCCTAAACGCGCCGGAGTGGGTCAGGATATCCTAACCGGCGCCGAATTTATGGCACGAGCGGGCCCGTGGCTTCTTAGCAACTCTTTGTTACTGAGGGGTTTAAACCAACGTGTTGCTTATTAGGAAAATAAAGGGGTATCTTGTGTATGAACCCTGGTGGAGCAGTGGTTAAGCGCTCGGCTACTAACCAAAAGGTGGGCAGTTTGAATCCACCAGCCACTCCTCGGAAACCCTATGGGGCAATTCTACTGTGTACTATAGAGTCGCTATGAGTCAGAATCGACTCAAAGGCAATAAGTTGTTATTGTTGTATGTTGTGAATAAGAGGCCCTGGTGGCGCAAGGGTTAAGTGATTAAGAGCTGACTACTAACACGAGGTTGGTGCTTTGAACCTTCCCAGGGGCTCTGAGGGAGAAAATACCTGGCAGTCTGCTCCGGGAAAGATTAGAGCTAAGAAAACCCCATGGGGCAGTTCTGCTCTGTCACATGAGGTCACTATGAAGTGGAGTCTACTTGATGGCACCCAGCAACAACAACCGTCTTGTGTGTGGCCACGGCTCAGTGTTTCTGGGGTTCTCTTTCTTGGGTTCACCCCCTCCTTTTGGAAATGAGGAGATCAGGTGCCCGGGGGAATCTAGGACTCAAGGTCATAGCTTATGATTTACTAGTTATCACTTGCCCTCCACTTGATTCTGACTCACGGCATTCCCAGAATGTCAGTAGAACTGTGCTCTGTAGGGGTTTCAAGGGCTGATTTTTTAGATGTAGATCACCAGGCCTTTCTTCTGAGGCACCTCTGGATGGACTTGAACCTCCAAACTTTTAGTTGAGGGCATTCTCCTTTCGCGTCACCCAGGGTCAGTTGACTACTCACAGGCAGAGCAGAGGTGCATCCAAACCGCTGGGGGAGAAAGAGCCCTCCTTGCTAGCGCGTTGAGGATGGGATCACCAAGCAAGGTTGAGTTCGCAAGGGTGGGGTGGGAGGGAGGCAATGACCAGAAAGTCAGTGTCACAGGTGACTTGAAACATTCCACTAAGGAGCCCTGGTGGCGCAGTGGTTAAGCACTCAGCTGCTAACGGAAAAGTCGGAAGTTCAAACCCAGCAGCTGCACTGCCGGAGAAAGATGTGGCCGTCGGCTTCCACAATGATTTACAGCCTTGGAAACCCAATGCGGCGGTTCTGCCTTGTCTATAGGGTCGCTATGAGTCGGAATCGACTCGATGACAGTGGGTTTGGGTTTTATATGTGGACATTCAGAGAAGCCTTGGAAGACAGGCCTGGAGATCTGCTTCCGAAAGGTCACAGCCTTATGGAGCACAGTTCTGCTCAGCACACACGGGGTTGCCACGAGCTGGAACCCCCCCCCCCCCAGGCAACTAACAACAACAGATATGTGGGGGTCACCTTTGTCATGGAGATCTTGCCAGTGGCAGGGGCAGCAGCCACTCAGCTCCCGGGTGGGGAGGTCTGGGTAGAGACAAGCCAGCCTGGGCTGGAGTGGGCAGAGAGGACTGGGGTCCCTGTGGAGGGAGGAGGAAGGGACAGAGAGGTCAGCTGGGCTATGCTGGCCGTGGCATTGCTGAGCTGTGGAATAAGTGCTGTTGTGGATTGAATTGTGTTCCCCAAAAATGTATGTTGTAAATCCTAACCCTGTGGATGGAAACCCTGGTGGCGCAGGGGTTAAGAGTGGCTGCTAATCAAAGAATCCACCAGGTGCTCCTCGGAAACCCTATGGGGCAGTTCTGCTCTGTCCTGTAGGGTCGCTATGAGTCGGAATCGGAGAGCAGGGGGATCCCTATGGATGTGATCCCTGTGGATGTGATCCCACTGGGGAATAGGGTTTTCTTTGCTATGTTAATGAGGCCATCTCATTGTAGAGTGTGTTTTAAGACAATCGCTTTTGAGATGTAAAAGAAGCAGATCAAGCACAGAGAAGGAAGCATAGATAAGGGAAGACAGATGCCTCATGAAGATCACCAAGGAGCCCAGGAACAAGTACCTTCCCTTGAGCCTATTGAGAGAGAGCCTTCCCCTGGAGCCAGCCAGAACCCAAAACCAAACCCGCTGCCAGTTGATTCCGACTCATAGTGACGCTGTAGGACAGAGTAGAACTGCCGCACAGGGTTTGCAAGGCTGTAATCTTTACGGAAGCAGGCTGCCACATCTTACTCCCTCAGAGCGGCTAGTGGGTTGGAACCTCGGGCCTTTCTGTTAGCAGCAGAGCGCTTTAACTACTGTGCCACCAGGGCTCCTATTTCCCTAGAGCCAGCCCCTGAATTCAGACTTCCAGACTCCCCAGCTGTGAGAAAACCAATGTCTGTTTGTGAAAGCCGTCCACTTGTGGTATTTCTGTCCCAGCAGTGGTAGGAGACTGAGGCGAGCACCCACATCTGAGGCTCCCTGAGGGTCTCCCCACAACTACCTCCCCCTCCCCCTTGCTCTTCATACCCACGAGCAGCGGGCGCCCTGGAAGCCGGGCTGGGTGCATTTCAGTCTGGGTGTGTTTCAGGGCTGCTGGGCGGGGCAGGAGCAGGGACCGAGCGCTTAAGACAGAGGTGGAAATGTGAGTGAACAATGGCAGCTGGTGGAGGACCAGCCGAGCCGGGACACGGCGTGCCAGCGATTGTCTTTCTTCGGGCACTCGGGTGGGTCTGTTGTGAAATGCCCAGGCTGGTGGCCAGGCCGGGCTGCGGGGTGACACGTCCTGTGTCTGCAGTCACGTGGGGGCTGTGGAGGCTGCCAAGTGGGCAAGGATGCCCGGTGAGTAATCTCGTCCTTAAAAATAAAGTGTCACCGCCCGGAGGACCAGAGGGGAGCCGTGCTGCACGGGAGGGGTTCTTCTGAAGTGTTTGTGTGTCCTCATGAAGACAAGGCTTGTTCCTCCAGGACGGTTTCACGTGGGCGCTGTGGGTGGAGGCTGACAGCTGGCCTGGTGTGCTCCAGCCGTTGGACTAGGAGGGGCCGGGGGGTGGGGCCGGGAGGAGGGGCCGGGAGAGGGGCCGGGGGGTGGGGCCAGGGGAGGGGCGGGAGGAGGGGCCGGAGGTGGGGCCAGGGGAGGGGCCGGAGGAGGGGCCGGGAGGAGGGGCCCGGGGAGGGGCCGGAGGAGGGGCCGGGAGGAGGGGCCCGGGGAGGGGCCGGAGGAGGGGCCGGGAGGAGGGGCCAGGGGAGGGGCCGGAGGTGGGGCCGGGGGATGGGGCCGTGAGGTGGGGCCAGGCCCGTGCACATGTAGGGCGCGTATGTACTACTGTGCGTGTGTGGTGTGTGCACGTGCGTGCATGTGTACATGTAGCAGCAGTGCATGCGTGTGCCCGCATGTGTATGTGTGTGTGTGCATGCGCACGTGTAGTGTACATGCCTGTGTTCCCATGTGCACGTGTGGTCCCTGTGTGCGCGTGTACGCACGCACGTTTGGTGTGTGTGCAGACATGTACGTGTGTGCACGCGTGGTGTCATGTTCATGCACACTGTGTATGTGAACTGTGTTGTGTGCGTGTGTGCACGCGCACTCCCTCATGACAAGTTCCTAGCTTTGGTGACGTCATCCTCAGCCTTCGTGGGCCCCTTTCTTCAATGCTTGCCATTGTCAGGGGCCATCGAGTGGATTCCGACTCCTAGCGACCCTATAGGACAGGGTAGAACTGCCTCATAGGGTTGCCAAGGCTGTCATCTTTACAGAAGCAGACTGCCACATCTTTCTCCCGAGGAGCGACTGGTGGGTTCGAACCTCCGACCTTTTGGTTAGCAGCCGAGCGCTTAACCACTGCGTTATCAGGGCTTCTTTCGTGAATGCTGGTAAAGATGAAGGCCGAGCACAATTCACCTGGAAGAATAAGTTTACAAAATCCCAAGCCTTTAGAGCCGCCACGATTGTCTCTCTGAGCCAGTCTCCATCACTTTCCGGCCACTTTTTAAGGTGGGATGAGGAGAGAGGGGGTAGGTTGGGGAAGCTTTGCCTGCAGTGAGAAGCCTTCAGCCAGCTTCCGCCCATGGTGACATCTTCTGTAAACCAAACCCGCTGCCAGCGAGTGGATTCCGACTCAGCGACCCTATAGGAGAACTGCCCCATAGGGTTTCCAAGGAGCAGCTGGTGGATTCCAACTGCCCACCTTTTGGTTAGCGGGTGAACACTTAGTGACTGTGTCGCCAGGGCGCCAAGATCTTCTATAGCTGTAAAGGAACAAAGCAGTTGCCACTGGGTCAATCCTAACTCATGGTGACCTCTCGTGTGCCAGAGGAGAACTCTGTTCCACAGGGCTTTCAATGGCTGGTTTTTTGGGAGCAGGTTGCCAGGCCTTTCTTCCAAGGCACCTCTGGGCGG